CCTGTCCCTGGGAACGGGAGGCTGGTGTGGGGTCTCTGCAAGCAGCCAGGCCTGAACACCCTGCAGAACTGGTTTGGGGAAGGGGCTGCTCACCAGGGATGAGTTTGGGCTCAGCACCCTCCTCCCCCGGTGAGGCCTGAGTGCAACTTCTGGGATTGACCCTTCCAGGCCAGTTCTACCGGTTGCTCCTAAAGGATGTTCAGGCTGGCTGGTGAGCACATTCTAGGTGCAGTCTCATATAACAATAACGGTGCCCCAGACACCATCAGTGGGGCCAGGCCCAGGGTCTGTAGTATTCAGCGCCCGCACAGCCTTCTTGGAGGGTTCTGACAATCTGGCAGATGCAGAAACAGGCCCAGAGAGGTTAAGTAGCATTCTCAAGGTCACACAGCTGGTTTGGAGAGGTGGGAATTAAAATTCTTGCCTCTGCACGTACTATCCACCTCCGTGGCAAGGAGGGGGAGAAGGGGAGGAGGGAGGAGGATGAGAACCAGAGTGAAGTACAAAATACTCCAGCAAGACACTAGGAGGCTTGACTTAGCTCCCACTTCAACCCTCACTCTGAGTCCTGGATCCTGTTGGGGCAACAGCCAGAGAGCTGGGAGCCTGAACTTGAGTGGGGGAGGGAGGAACACGCAGGGTGCCAGGGGTGCCAGGATGGTTCCTCCCGGGTGGAAAAGCTGGCGGGTAGGGTGCCGCTGAGTCAGGGCAACCCCTCGCAGAGCCTGGGACTCCACGCCCCTGGCCCCAGGAAGCCGTTAGGCTTCCAGCATGAAGCCTGCGGGCTGGGGAATGTGACCAGCTGACTAGGGAGGGGGCCGGCAGGAAGTGAGGCCACCGGGCTGCCTCCGACTGGTTCCGGGGTGGGGGGTCCCAGGCCGTGCTGCGCCCCTCTCCCTCCCTGCCCCAGCAGTTTGGCATGACGTCAGCAACCGGGTTTGGGGCATTGCCATGGAGACTGGGGCAGGCCCAGGAGGGACCCCATTCTCCCTTGCAGCCCCCCTCGCCCGGGTTATTTTTAGCTTTTGTTTACCTCAATGGGGCTGGACTGGGACTTCCAAAGAGGTGATTGGCCTGGCTTGATTGGCTTGGCAAACCGCTGAGCTGAGCAGTGCAGGTGGTGGGACCTCCTGTCTCACACAAGTGCACCAATTTGGGTGTGTAGAGGGCATTGGGGGTCGCAGGATCTGGAGTCATGAAGGTGGCCGGAGCTCCACTGCAGGCCCTGTCACCTTTGGGACCTGGATTCTTTCCCATGTTCAGAGCAGACTTCAGGGCTGGTGTGCGTCCAGAGAATCCACTGGCTCTTGTCAGCCAACCCCCGGCTCAAGGGATTCAGTTCTTTCCTTTCCCCGCAGCAGAAGGAGATCCTGCCAATCCACCCCATGAAATGGTCACTCAGATGGATATACCGATAGCCACTTGGGAGGAGTCTGGACCAACAGTAATACATCCTGGTCCCTGTGGGACGACAGGGTTGGGTTGGTGGCAGCAAAGCCCAAGTCAGAGAAAGAAAATCGATGGGACATTCAGCATGCTCTGATCCAGCCCACCCACTCAGTTCCAGAATTCCAGGGGACCCCTACCTTGGCCCATCTCAGGGAGTAGAAACTTACTTGCTGATATGAGAAAGTGGGGAAGGGACAGGGAAACTTGTATGTGGGGTATGGGAGTTAGGGTAGGCCAGACTTGAAATCTACCCCTCCAATAGCTCAGGATCTGCTGTTCCTGTGTCTGGACAGCTCAGTTCACTCAGCCTCCCTGCCCCCACCCCCACCCCCATTCAGCTCCCTGCCTCCTTCAGGCCCAGAGGGCACTGCAGTGAGCCAACTCGACCGGCCCCAATCTCCAGAGTTCACAGTCTGGTTGGAAGACAGACCCTAAAGGAGAACTGAAGACCTAGTTATGTGGCCTCAGGGATCAGAGGGAGAAGTTCTGAGATACCTAAAAGGGGAACCAACCCCGGGCAGACTTCCTGGAGGAAGAAGTCATAGGGTAAGACTTGAAAAAGGAGAGGGAAATTGGTCAGGGTGAAAGTAATTGGAAGAGCAAGAGCATAGAGGAGCAATGGGGATGCTGCTGAAATGCTGAAGAGCCTTGCAGGTATTGAGAGAGAATCTCAGTAGATGGAACAGAAAGACCAGGGCGGGAGCAGGGGACTGTGAGGGGAGGAGTGATCGAAGGTATCTGAGGAAAGTGTCAGTCTTGTGGGTCATGTTAGAGAGTTTGGACTTTATCTTTGGAGCAGGAAGTTACCCATGGATGTTTCACAAGAGTCAGAATAGAGGGACATTAAAGATTTAGAGTCCTGCACTCCGGCCTCCTGAGTTTGAATCCTGGCCCTGCCATTTACCAGCTGTGTAATCGGGCAGGTTAGTAATTGTTAATAACAACAATGAATATTTGTGTGTTTTCAGTGTGGTAGTGTGTCCACCCCAATTTCCCTACCTCACATGCAATTCTGCCTTCCCCAAGCCCCCCTTATGGAGGAAAGTATATCATTTCATTCCCCCAATAGCCCTGTGACATAGCTGCTGTTATTATTGTTACCCTCGTTTAACAGAGGGGTATCCGAAGACCAAAGAGGTGAAGGAATGTCTTGCCCATAGCCAGTGTGCCTCAGGTTTCTCATCTATGAAATGGGACTAATAAGACATACCCCATAAGGTTGGTGCTAGAGCCCTAGCTGGTTTGGCTCATTGAATAGAGCGTCGGCCTGCGGACTGAAGGGTCCCGGGTTCAATTCTGGTCAAGGGCATGTACCTTGGTTGCAGGCACATCCCCAGTAGGGGGTGTGCAGGAGGCAGCTGATTGATGTTTCTCTCTCATCAATGTTTCTAACTCTCTATCCCTTTCC